CTGCTGCACCTTCTGCGTGGCCGCTGCTGCACCTTGTGCATGGCCGCTGCTGCACCTTGTGCGTGGCCACTGCTGCACCTTGTGCATGGCTGCAGCTGCATCTTCTGCCCACGTGAGGCCAGTTCAGTCCTTCAGGATCACTGCTGGCTGCTGGGAAGCCGGTGCTGGCCTGGACTGACAGCTGCTCTGAGCTGCCCCCTCTGCTCCTTCTCTGACACATAGATCTTCACAATGCCCTGTGGATCTGCTCAGAGGCAACTGTGTCCTGTCCACATGCACCTTCACGGTGTGGGGATGTCTGCGAGGGTGTCCTTGGTCCTCAGTGCCCCACTCTGCTCTCACCATGAGGGCGTTTATGGACGCTCCAGGCGTTTACTGCAGTGGTCTGCACGGTGTTTCCGGCATGCGGTACTGCAATCCACAGACGCTCTAGGTGGAGTGTTCACTGTACGTGATAAACCGAGAGTTCCTTTTCTGTGCATCTCTGGGCCTGCTGTGTACACCAAAACCTAGTTTCACGTTCGCAGGAGAGGCTCTCAAGCCAGATTCAGAGCTGTACAATTTTGAAACTAAATACTTAATCTTGTCTGTGTTCCTAAATTTTACTCAGTATTTTAAAAAGCAGAAATTATTGAAAATAAACTGAGAGGTAAAATCGCAGGATAGTAAAACACTTACGTATTCAATCTGGGAGATGCTTAGAACCACCTTTGTCAACCACATCTCCCTCCTGCCAGGACTGATGAAGAGAACACAAAGGGACTGAGCCTAGAGACCCTCTGCTCGGGCAGGGTCTACCCGGTGCCCAGCGGGGTCCTGGGGACACGCCCCTGGGGCGCCGGCCAGCTGACCTCGGGTTTTCCGCATACCCGTGAGCATCACTGCGGAGAAAATGTGTAATGAACTGCTCCCACCCCGGACAGGAGGCAGCGCGAGGCCATGCAGCTTGAGGTCAGCAGGACCTGCCCGGCGGCTCTCAGTGCAGAGCTGGGGCCTTCAGCGCTGTCACCAGCGCCCTGACCTGCACAGCGCGGCGAGAATCCGGGCAAGGACTGCAGGGAGTCGCAGTGGCTTCTCGCCGAACTTCAGAGACCAGGAAGACCCTGGCTCTCCATGAGCCCTCTGCGCCCGGCTGGCTGGAGGTCTCCACCTTGTCTAATCTGCCAGAGGAGCGAGCGTGAGCAGCTGTCTTAAAGGAAAGCGTCTCCACCGTGCTCAGTAGGCCCCAGACCTGAGCTGTGCGTCTGCCTCGCAGCGCCAGGGGCTGGGCAGGGTGGGGGCCCGCAAGCGTCTCCGTCCTCCCTGCTTCTGAGATGTGCAGCCGGGAAGCCCAAGATGCCCTGCCCCACTTCCTCGTGTCCAGCCCGCCACTCCGTCACACGTGGGTGTCGGGGTCGGTGTCGCCAGACCACTGCGAAGTGCCATGGGGCCAGAGTGACCCTGTGGGGCTCAGACTAGGTTCCCGGCCTGCTCCTCCTGTCACCTGTGAAATTCCCGCACAATTTCCAAAGGTCTCGGTTTTCAGGAAGGGAAAGGCGGAGTGGAGGAAGTGTAGCTGATGCCCCTAGCCCAGCCACTGAGTCCTTTCATTTAGCCAAGGGTTTTGTATTGTTCAGACAAAGCCTCCAACTATTAAATCCAGTAGTTTAATTTTCAAAAGGCATTGAACTGACCTGTGTATGTTCCCTACTCTGCTCATAATCCTCCAATCTTTTCTCATCCGTGTGATCTGGGTGCCCAGCCCCTGTAGGCAGCCCGCCACAGCCCGTGTAGGCACCGGGTGGGACGCGTGGCTTACACAGAAATCACCGTTCACCCCGGCCCTGTTCAGCTGAGGCCAGGTCGCACTCCCTTGGAGCCGAATCTCCTCCAACACCATCCGAGTGGGGCATCACTCCCACGCGGGAAGGTCTCACACAGGAGGAGAGCACTCACAGCAGAGGCAGCGACACGCGGGAAGGTCTCACACAGGAGGAGAACACTCACAGCAGAGGCAGCGACACGCGGGAAGGTTTCACGCAGGAGGAGAGCACTCACAGCAGAGGCAGCGACGCGCGGGAAGGTCTCACACAGGAGGAGAGCACTCACAGCAGACGGCAGCGACTTCGTGGACCTGCACAGAGACAGGGAGCAGAGACCTTCCAGGAGGCAGAGGGGCCGTGCAGCTGGAGGGGAAATGGAGATTTAGCAGTCGGACTTCTCCAGTTTGCACTGATGGGGAACACAGTGAGTCTCAGCCTGGTGTCTGCAGCGGGAAAGCCTCCCGGCCTGGCCCTTCCTGGGCCTGGGCGCTGTGGGCAGAGCACGCCTGGAGCTCCAGCACCTCAGGCCTTGAGCTTGGATTATGAACCCGATCAGTGAATGCCAGACGGGCGACCTCCTCGGCAGCTCACAGCGGAGCTGGCACCGAGGCGGGCGAGGTGCTCGCTGCTGCTCCGAGGGGCCTGCAGAAGGGGCATGGCTAGACCCAGGACACGCCCGGAACAGCCTGGCCCCTTCTGCGCGGGCACACCCAGTGCGCTGTCCAGCCTCCTAGAACCTGCGGTTACGACTCCTGTTCTTCATGGGGAGACATGAGCACACACAGACAGGAGTCCAGAAAACCAAGCAGGCTGGGAGCCGCACGCCAGGACGAAGGCGGGATTCTCCCGGGTCCTCTGAGATCCCTGGCTGGGCAGGGAGTGCCTGGAGCCAGAAAGGGAGTGTAAATAGTGTTCTGAGAAGGCCAGGACAGAGCAGGTCTGCTCCCTGCGGGCCTCAGGCGACTTAACTGGGAGCCTTGTCACAGCTAATGAGGCCTGCACTGCCGCTGCCGAGGCGGGCCAGTGCACCTTCAAGCCACAGGGACTTCGAGGACAGTTTCTGCTGCTGAGCATTTTATCAGAAATTTCCTTAAGCTGTTCTTCCTCACAAAGAAATGTAGGATGAATGTGAAAAGCCATGGAAATATTTAGACTAATTAGGTTTATTAGAGAATCAATTCAATGGGGGGAACAGGCATAGAAAGCAACCATGGATACCAGAGACAGTGTGGGAGGAGGGTGGGCCACCGCAGAGGGGGAGGGATAGGGAATCAAAGATGGCAAAAAAAAAAAAAGCAAACTATACAGGAAACAAGAAATAGAAAATTATTTGTTGATAACGTATGTTGATGTGCTTGACTGAGCCAATATACAGTGTCTTCTGGATGGGAAATCTAATTTTGTATGCTGTAATGATGTATAGTGAATGAATGTAAATAAATAAAAAATAAAATAAATGAACAAATAAAAAACCAAACAAACAAAAAACCATGGAAAGTAGCTCAATTCCCATTATGTTTTAGTGGTTTTTTTAAAAAAATTAATTAATTAGTTAATTAAATTTAATTTTTTATCTGGGTTTTAAGACAATGCATAGAAAAATATTAAAAAGCTTAGAATTGCATTCCTCTTCATAAAGTCAGCGATAGTACAAAGAGTTATCCTTACAAAATACTATTCCTACTGTGTCAATGTCACCGATAACACGTGACACACAGCAATGTTCATTTGTACGTGTGTCTGTGTGTTCACATAGAACTTGACAATCTAATTATTCTCAAAATCTAGCCCAGAAAGTTTCTCTCATGTAAAAAGTAGCAGCCAACACCCACAGAATAGTCTATCTCTAGGATATTCTCTATTTTCAACAATAGCAGAAATATCTTACGGTCTTTATTAGAATAACACTGTATCATTTACTGGAAGCCTATTGGCACCTTTCCCAAATTACCTTCTTATGTAGAAGTATGTGCTGCCCTTTGATGATGTAGATATTCACTTTACGTCCTCTGCTAAACATCCTAACTTGTGTGCAGTGTGTGTACACGTGTGTGTGTGTTTGTATACTCTGTATCTATTCCTATATTTCTTACAGCTATTTATACATTCTTACTCTACTCTTTTTCTAAATATTTATTACTTGTGTGATATCTTACATTTGTCAAGATTTTATTTATTTATTTATTTATTTATTTATTTATTTATTTTTAATTTGCTATATGGTGCATGTGCTTACCAAAGAGAGAGAGAGAGAGAGAGTGAGAAATCACCCCCAGAGGATGGTCATGCTACAGTCCCTTCTCCATCCTCCTCCAGGGACTTTGGGCACACATGCACACGTGTCTGGAGTGCTCTCCAAGCCACCAGGTCCGAGGCTGGAACCGCACACACGGCCATGTCAGATCCAAACGCATTAACCACCTTACACCTGGCTGGACTTCAATGTTTATTTCTGGCAAACTGGAAGGCTTCTGGTTTTTAATATTAATTTACTTTTTAATCTTGCCACTACTTACTAAACGGTTTTGCATAGGAACACCTTTCTTTCACATGGTCACCAGCTGCACAAAAATAAACATTTTACCTCTTCTTTCCTAAAACTTTGAGATTTTTAAAATTTGCATCCCATTGTCTAAATGCTTCAAAATAATGTTAATCCATATGTGTAAAATGGACCTTAGTATCTTTCTCTTTTTTTGGTGTGTGCTTGCTGGAGAAAGACATAGACAAAGAGACAGGGAAAAATGAGAAATCACTCTCTGGGGGGATGGCCATGCCACAATCCTTTCTCCTCTACCCTCCTCCAGGGATTTTGGGCATGCACACACACAACCTGTTGCCCCCGGACCTTGTTTGTATACGTTTCTTCACAGTTGGGGCCAGCAGCTGGTGCACTGGTTACGGCATTAAACGCCACTGGTCGCTCCAATTCAGTCTCACACCGGGCGTGTCGGTGCATGGGATCCCGAGAGGAGAACGGAGGAGAAGGGACTGCAGCATGGCCATCCTCCCTGGGGCAATTGCTCGCTTTCTGTCCCTCTGTCTCTCTGGTGAGACACAGAAGAGGATCAGGAGAAAAGAGTTTATTGATGTATCTAATCGTTTATTTATTCGCATATTGCTTTTTCATTGCCAGAGGGCACGAGCACACACGGGGCAGGGAGGCCGAGAGAGGAGCGGGCGAAAGTCCCCGCGGTGGGGCGCGGTCCCAGCACGCCCTCCTTCAGCTTTGCTCCATTCTGTTGGGAACTGGGGCACACACATGCACCCAGTGTGTTTACCAAGGCCTCGGGGCTGGAATTCAAACCCCCGTGGGGCACGTAGGGTCTGATGCCCTGGACTGCTAAGCATGGCATTGACCTATAAGCCGTGTACTATTCTGAATGATTTTAATGGGCTTTGGGCCATGGGTGGTCTGGGCACCGGCACCTGGTCTGAAATGGGTGAGGGAGGGATGCTGCCTCCAGGTGACAGGGCTGCAGGCTGTGCCCTCGACGTGCCCTCGACGTCGTCTGGACCTGGCTAGCTCAGAGGGGTCTCACTCTCAGGCAAAGACTTTTTAAGACGTCAAACATCATCATATACAGAAGGTAATTAGAAGCGTGTTGTGTGTGTTTGTGTGTGTGCGGCCTGGGGCTGCTTATCAGCTTCCGGGGATAAACGTGCTTGAAGCCAAGACAGCTTCGCTAAGGCTGCTGCTGACAGGTCTGCTGTGCGAGCCTGTGCACCCCTGCATGCCCCTCCTCTGCAGCAGCCCTCCCCTGGGTGGGTTACGCCAACTGGCATGTGCGTCTGTCCCTAATATCGTGGAATTCGACCCAGGAAGCCACCAGGTCCCCAGGGAGTGGAATTGCACCACTGCGCCACAGAGGCCGGATGGGGCCTGGCGCACACAGCAGTCCCGCATCCCACAGAGATCTCTGGGACCCGCAAGTGCTGGAAGCGCAGCAGTCTGTCGAGACCCGGGACGCCCTTCGCGGATTTCCTTCCTGCGGCCAGGCTCCCAGGCTCCCGGCCTCCGGGCTGCCGGCTTCCGTCACTTTATTTCTTTTTTTTTTTTGGAGAGATTTTCACTGTAGGGCGCGTGCGCTCGCC